TTTAACACAAAGCCAGGGTTTATTTATGCACACCGAACAAACCGTAGTGGTCTGATTTACGCATATGTAACACAATGGATGGGTCTCCCCATCACATTAAGGCAGATGAGCTGTGACCGAAGGGCTGGGCTCTGCCGCCTGGCCTCCCAACTTTCTGGAGGGCAGAGGAGGTCATGAAGATGTCCCTGCAAGGGGTGGGGACAAACATGTTCTGTCCATTTATTTAACCTTAGGGGAGCAAATCACTTTTATTCCCACCCATAACCTCCTCCCGAATGTAAAAAATGTGCCCAGCCTCTGTCCCAGATATCAGCCCTAATATAGTTAGTTCCAGTTGTATGCTTTCAAGCTATTTTTCAAGGTTTTTGAGGGGCTTTCAAGGCTTCCATTTCCAACCACATTTTAACTTTGCCCCAGAGACCACAATGCTGAAAACTGGCCATTTTGCCCCTGAGTTTGGGGTGCAGTCTTGGTGGGGGATGGGGGGGTGTCACAAACTATGTGCTGGAGAGTCACGAATATGGCCTGTGACTTCTGTAACTTGAAACCCAAGCCAGATTACAACTGAATATACTGTATGAACCAAGTCAGTGTAAGTATAAAACTTTGCATGTGTGACTGAACTGTGCTGCCCCTTAAACACATTTATTGTTTATAAAGAGGCCGTTGGGGGTTTCATATGGAGATTTTAAAAGTCTAGGATATTTATCTCCTATATCTCACAAAATGGCACTAATAAAAAGCCCATCAGTTTTTGGAAATCAGTTTTTCATCTGGTTGATGCAGATTTAAGTGGTGGTTTGAAATGGTGTAATTCTAAATTATATCATAATAGCACTGATCTGCCAGAGGTAAGGAGATCATATTCTTTTGAGTCTTCAATCATACTTTTAAGAGAAGCAACACTCTCCTCTGTAGAATGTTAACATAAGAAGCAAAACTGTTTACAGTATCCTCCTTTATTCTAATTTATTAAAGCAATACAATTGTTAATTATCCTTGCACGGCACTTTCACATGTACAAATGACTTCATTTGCATTTGTTATTGTTGCTGTAATCCTTGTAACTACCTTGAGAGGTAAACCAGTATTATAATCATCCATGTTGGAAATGGGGTGACTAAGAGACGGCGTTCAAGGAAGAAAGTCTCTTGAAGTTATATCAGAAGTGACATTCGAATCAGGGACTTCCTGATTCAAAGCTCAGTCTGAGGTTGAGACTTTTACAGTATGCAACTGGTATATAATGCCAGAATAAATATTTTATTATAAATTATAAAATTATAAACGTTAATTATAAATTAAAGTATAAATTTATTATATAATTATTATAAATTATATATATATAATATAATAAATAAATAAATAAAAATTATAATTATAAAGAGTTTTATAAAATAAAACTTTGGGAGCGGGATAGATAAAGAACTATTACAAATTATCTAGGAGCTTGTAAATTTTCTCAACAGTGAAATTCCAAGGGATTTGAACGTGTTCAACCTATAGAAGGAATAATCACAACAGACTTGAAAAGAATGATTAAGTACCTTTCAAAATAGGGAAAGGGAACTAGAATTGGACTTTTCTTCACCCTGATACAGTTATCCAGTCAAACAAGATGAAACAGGAACTGAATGGGAGCTTTAAACATTTTCTCGCTAAAATCCATAAAGTATTGTGAAGAATGAAATAAACCTTTTAGAACGGGCTGCTTATGCTTAGGGCAATTTTCAGAGAAAATAATATTTAACCAGATGAACTCCTATTCAATACCCTGCCTCCTCAAAGCACTGGATAGATTGCATTCAAGTTCGGAAGTTTCTCTTATTATAAACAGAACCTGCAGGCCTATTTCAGGGAAGTGTTAGAAGACAAGAGAAATGGACTGAGGTGTTTGCCTGATTCTCCCAACTGGTGCCATCCAGATGTGCCTGATGGACATACAGCAATAAGCCACAATGTGATTTACTTGTTTCTGGCTTAGTGTGACCTGCAAACTCAACCATAAAGGTTCAGCATTATGAAAAAAAAAAACAACTGGCTAAAATGGCTTGATTTAACATTATGTATGAATCCCAGTGCTCCTATATGTGAATCACAAGTCACTGAAATTTGCTGACCCCTTTACCTAAGTTCCATTCCATAGGTTCTTTCTCTAAGAACTGCAATCCTAATTTACTCTGTATTAGGCTATTTTTCAAATCTGCATTGTCTACTCTGACTGGTAGTGATGTTCCATTGCCTTGTTAACCTTTCAATTGGCAATGTTTAAAATCTTAACTTGGGAAGCTTCTGCATCCACACAGGTTGTGTTCTGACTGTATTTCTGCCTTTTCCAGCTTTCTGTTTTATTTTTGTTCCAACCTGTTCCATGGCATGGGAGAAAGACCTTGGTTCCCACTTCCAAGGTTCCAAGGATGAACACCTAGGACCTCAGGAAGGATGGAAACTGTCAGAAGCTCTGAAGGGCCATCAACATCATTACAAAAAAATACTCCTTCTGCAATGGCTCAGTTCAGCATAAGGTAGCTTCCTATCTTTAGCGATCCACTGAGAGGGACAGACTCTTCAACCACCCCAAATCATTTCAAGGTCTTGCATACATGGCCTTATTTCAAGTGGGACTCCTCAAGGCACAGAGCCTGCCAGCCACATTTGCCACTCAGTAAGCCTCCAAGTGGGTTTGCCTACTCAGAAGTGTACAACTGTCTACTTTCAGGTAGGTTGGTGGGATTTCTTTAGTTGATGGGGCAGAATTGGTGCAAGCCTCTCTGCTCACTGCTTACACACCAATGGCTCTGACACTCATGAGTTGCATCTCCACCCTGCATGACTTTATCATGGTCCCAATGAAATGATACTATTTCCTAAGATGCATATTAAGAAAACCTCTCCACCCTCTTCCAAGATTGGCCCCTAGTCTCCCTAGCTCAACTGAGGCCTCCTCTCACTCAGTCAAACTGGTTTATGCTGTCAGAAGGAATTCCATTTTCCCCATCCTCCTTACTGGTCATGTACCTGCAACTTTATTGGCCTGACAAGTCCAGGCTCAAATAGTGGAAATCAGAGCAGGAAAAATAGAACAGCTACATTTCCACAGATAGTTGCAAATGACAAGGGATGCCTCCATTCACAAGTCCAGTCTGCCCAGCAGTGAAGAACCAGCTTCCCTTTTTCCTTACCATCAAAGCATCTAATGTGAAAGATGTCTGAATTTCTTAAGTAAAGGCAGCCTCAGATTTCCTAACCTTGCTAACCAGCTCCTTCCTCAGTGTTTATCAGGAAGTGGTGGAGAAAATCTATAAGAGTGGCAAACAACTCACTCACTCTCCCCCCTCCCCCCTGTTGTTGTTGTTGTTAAGATTTCCCTTGGTGTAACTCTGTTTATAATTCAAAATGGGGACAAAAGCAATTGCACATTTCTCCCATAGCATCAGAGTGGCTCCTTCCTAGCTGCTACAGAATGGAAGGGAAAGTTGGTGGGAGGGAATATGCCAAAAGATTGAGAAAATGTTGCTCTTCCTACCAACTCAGGGAGACTCTGGATCCCTGCAAGTTAAGAGATCAATCCCAAGACAGACATCAGTAAAAACACCCCTTTCAGCACCTCTGGCTTCTCTCCAACAGAGGAGCCTTCTGGTTGATTTACTAATACCTGGCACAAGGCTGCTGGTGTGTGGTGTGCAGTGCCCAGTTTCTGCTAGGAGGTTTTGTCCATCCCCACTTAAAAAGCCAATCCCCACCCTCCCATCCTCACTGCCCATCCCCCCAAAGCAGCAAACAGCCAAACCCACAGCTGGAAAAGACACCTTCCTTGCAAATGGCCTGGTTCTCTCCCTCTGGAAAAACAGTGATGGACGGATGCCGGGAGGCGGGGGCGAGGAGAGGCATCCAGGATATGGGGAGGGGTGCTACAGGATGCCATTTGCACTAGTCTGCCTCACCCCGACATGCTCCAGATGGCTCAAACTACAATTCCCAGCCTGCCGAGAAGATGGGAATTGTAATCTGAGCCCTGGAGCCCACCAGGCTGAGGAAGGCAGGCTGTCTGAGAGCTCTGAATAAAACCTGTTGCTGGACTAATACAGCTCCCTCAATAATATTCAGCGCAGAGGAGTTGGGGTGGGGGCAACAGAGAGACTCAAAGACCTAAGACATGCATGGAAGGAAAATGTAGGCCCTTCACCCTATCCCCAATCCTTCCCAAGGATATGAAGTATCAAGCGATCTGCTGTGGCAAAGGAGGCCTTTTGGCAGCTGCCCGCCGAAGCGAGCGCAGCTGGGCTTTGAAAGCGTGCACGGACTTTGCAATAATTCCTAGAGAAAATACACACACGTGTGCAAAGAGATCCGCTGATATCTGGGTGCCCTGGCATGCAGGACAGAACAGATCTCGACACGGAGTAGCACGCTTCCCCAACTTTGCTTCCTCCAGATGCGGGAGGCTGTAGCTCCCACCATCCTTGCCAACGCTATCGGGGCGAGCGTAGTGCAGTACATCCCGCGGGCCCCGGGTTGAAGACGGTTCTGTGGGCCAGCAGCCTGGACTAGGGAATGGCTGGAATTCGCGGGACGCGGCGTTGACGGGGGTGGGGAGCAGCTTAATGCCCAGAAGAAACACACGTGCTAAGGCACTCCGTCCGCCGCTTTTCCCCCCTCGGCTTTGCCACCGGAATCCCAAGTCGGAGTGACTCCGGGGGCCTTTGGGAAAAGTCTGCAAGCGCCCCTCCCGGCCCGAGCCGCTCGCAGAGGAGGCGCGCAGGGCGACCCAGCGCTTCTCCTCTGCGAGGGGCGAAGACGACCTGTCAAACGCGAGAGGGCCGCTGCGGTTCTGCAGCTCCGCTTCGGGCGACTTGCGGGTGTAAAGAGGGGGAGGGAGCGAGACTCCCCCGCCCCGGCATTTAACCTGAGGCGGGCAGGCAGATGCGGTCCCCAAAGCATCCGCGTCGGTGCCCCGCGGGGGGGGGGGGGGGGGGGGGGGGGATGTTAAGAATGATTACCTTTCTCCTGCAGAGGACTGTTCACCTCTTCCTTGCTAACCTGGGTGATAATGGGCCCGCTGTCCATTAGACCAGAAGTGCAGAGCGCTCTCCTCCCTCCTCCAGTTGTCTCTTCGCCGCTTCAGGGAATTTTCCGGGACTTCACAGATTTTTCTTGTTGTTTAAAAACAACAACGGAATGGAACGAAACGAAAAAAGGAAGAAAGAAAATAATAAATAAAAGGAAAGAAAACGGATGAGGGGAAATGAGTGGGCGGGGGAGGGGCGGGGGGAGATGGGGAAAGGGAAAAACAAAACAAAACAAAAC